AAGATGACTTTATGTCAGCAAAAAATGATTTTGAATTAAAACATCAGAAAATTGTAAATGAAATACGTCAGCAGTATGAGCAACGAATTGAGATTCTCAAAAAGGAAGTAAAGGAATTAAAATCGTGTGGAGATGAAAAAATTAAAGAAGTAAGTAAGTGAGAGATTTGTTTTACTTTTATTAGTAATATACAAACATAAACTGAAATTTTATAAAATAATTTAGTAGTTTGAAATTTAAAACATTTTGGTAAGCTTTTTGTTTTGCGCTTATTTCTTGTTAATCTGTAATTACGAATACATAGCATATTATTTTTATGCGCACAAATGCTTTTGTTTATATTGAACTTTTTAAATCCTTTTTATAGCTTTGTAAGTACACAAAATAATGATAATGATAATAGTAATAATAATAATAGCGATAACAATAATAATAATTTATTAAAGAGTTACTTGTGTATTTTGATTCTCAGCATTATTAATTAGTATTGTTATTACTATTGTAAACCATTTTCCTTCTACTACTTTAATTCATTCGTATAGGAACTGATTTCCTTCAAGAGATAGTAAATAGTATTATTACTCTTGTTCTTTTAATAATAATAATATTGACGATTATTGTCATTAATAATAATATTAAATAAATGGTTTCGCAGTTTAAAGGGAACAATTTATAGCTATTCAGTGTTGTAATGAAGAGTCTGAGGAAGGAATTAGCTATCAGTCACGATATTGAATTGTACAAAAATCGTCAGGATTCTGTAATTGATAGCGAGAAAATGATAGATATTGATTCATTCTCGAAATTCGATTTCGATGTGGATTTAAGAGCTTTGAAAGAATGCATCGCAGAGGTAATGGAAGAAAAGTTAGCATCTAACCAACGCAATGATTCTGAATTGGTAATGATGAATAAACTTACTCAAACAGTGCTTCCTGTGAACTTTCATGACAAAAGTAGCATTTTTATGAATGAAAAAGAGGAAGAAGAAGAAGCTCGAGAACATCTTGACGAAGAAGTTCTGATGTTGAGACAAAAAATTCATGAATTCGAGATTGGTGAAAGTGAAAATGACAAGAGCAGTGCTGTAATGATCAATGAATATACTTCTGCGAATCTGAATAGTCAGGTATGGAATTTGAGAGCAGAATTATCGTCACTAAAAAAAGAAATCAGTGAAGAAGAAAGAAACAAAAAACGACTTCAGAAACATATTCAGGAGTTGCAAAACACAATTCATAATAAAGAAGCAAATTTGATAATAATGGATTCAGTTGAAGAGGAAAATATGAAGAAAGAAAATTCAGAAGGTGAAAGTTTTGTTGAAGAAACTGATGATAAAATAATACTTCAGAATTCTTTGAATAATTTGAAGAAACTTTTAAAGCAGACAGCAGATGGCAAAGAAGCAGCAGAAAAAGCATTGACAATGGCAACGAAGTTTCAAGAAAAATTGGTAGATGATTTGAGAGATCGGCTCAAACTTGCAGAAGAAGAAAAAGTAAGTTTGAAGAAAGACTTGAGATCTGATAGAAAGTTTATCACTGATGTGAATTCTGAAGAAAATGAAAGGGAAAACTTAAAAGTAGAATCTGAAAGTGTACAAGTTCTTAGTCAAGGCATATCAAGCAATCTCGAAAAAAGATTACGTTCAGCAGAGCAACAAGTAGAAATGCTCAAATTCGAACTAGCTGAGGCTCAAAAATACGCTAAAGTCTGCAAATATGAAGTGGAGGAGAAGAATTTGGATATCGCTAATTTCGCGATGGATATACAAAGTTTGAAGAATGAATTGAAAGTATGTAAAATGCATCAAGAAGAAATTAATCATTTAGAAGATCGTAATAAAGTATTAGAATTTGAAAATAAGAATCTTAATAACGAGAATTCATCACTAAAGGAAATGTTGAACGATATAAGAGAATCCCAAATAACGATGAAAAATCAGCAAATTAGCAATTATGCATTGGAGATAAAAGCTACTAGTGAAGATTTAAAACAAAGTCGTGAAGCCTACGAGATGCTAAAACTTGAAATGCATGGACTTTGTGAACAGCATAGCGAATCTTTGAAGGAAGTGAATCGCATGAAAAATCTACTTGATATGGCAAACGTTGAGAAGGAACAATTAAAAGCAGAGGCTCACAATCGACGCGCTGAAGCTGAGCGCTTATCACGGTAATTGTAATGATGATAATATGTTTATAATAGTAGTAATTAATTTAAATATCATTTCTTCTTGTTATAATGATAGTTGTTATTCTAATGTGCTGTTATTATTATATTAGTAAATGTAGTAATAGATAGTTTCACTTTATTGCTTTATTCTATCTTGTTTCTGCTTACTGATGAATACTACTTCTAAATGCTTTTAGTTTTAATAGCTTCAGTGTCTTAATCTTTGTTCGAATCAAAATTTGCATATGATAAGTTATAAATATGTCTGAAGAATGAAATTTTAGAAAATCTAATTAGCTCTTTTCAAAAATTCTTCGATATTTTAATGCTTCATTGTTCATTCCTGTATTTTTGCTTTTGTTTTCTGTTTTTTTGTTTGCTTTTTATGGTAATGAAACGAATGTAATCTTTTTGCTTCCAATTTTTGAAATATAACCTTTTTTGCATTTATTATTATTATTATTATTTTAAAAAAATATATACCTGACGATTTTTATAATACTCTTAAATAGCATAAATTGATGAAGAATGCGAAAGCTTCACCTTCTGCTTTGCTTCTGATGGCTGCTGCTCATGTACTATTTCAAACACTAACTTAATTTGATTCATAATTTCTTTAAGCACACTTTCTATCATAGTATACTAATTTCAGTAAAAAAGCAAAAAATAAATATAAATTACAATATTTTAGAAAATAGAAGTAGAAGTTTTTATGAAAAATTACATTTACAGTGAACGGTTGGAACTTGAACTAACCCGACAACGGTTAGATGAAGCGATAGCAGAAGGTGAACGTCAAACTCGAGAATTAGCTCAAATTAAAGCTCAAACTAAAACTGATGAAAAATTAGAAAAAGACCGTCAGCAAGAAATTTTGCATTTACGCCAACAAATTGATAGTATTCAGGTCCGATATTCACTATATATATATATATATCTGTCAAGTTTCTTCATTAAATCCATATATATATATAT